GCCCGCTTCGGAGAGCGAAGGGAGAGCCTGACCCGCCGCACGGGCACCAAAGTGGAGGACCGGCCCCAGCTGCTGATCTCGGGTGACGCGGCCAATGTCAAACTGGTGCCCCTCAAGCCCATGTGCGTGGAGAGCTTCTTCACATACCCGCCACTCGGTACGGTCGCCTGATTACATTTTTAAAGCTGTTCGATTTTGAACCTTTCACTCACTCCGCCTGTCTCTTTGCATTTTTTTGCACAGGTCGCTTTGCCGTCCGAGACTTGAAGCAAACGGTTGCAGTCGGAGTCATCAAGTCGGTGGAGAAGGAGAGACGACCCAAAGTGGCCAAATAAGTTGGCGCTTGCATTCTGATTTGTCGAAACATAAAGAGACTTTCGGTTGAGTTTGAAGATCATCCTCAACCACCCGGGTCGGATCAAAGCGGGCTATTCCCCGGTGCTGGACTGCCACACGGCGCACGTGACATGCCGCTTCGCAGAGCTCAAGGAGAAGCTGGACCGACGCACGGGCACCAAAGTGGAGGACCGGCCCCAGCTGCTGATCTCGGGTGACGCAGCCAATGTCAAACTGGTGCCCCTCAAGCCCATGTGTGTGGAGAGCTTCTTCACATACCCGCCACTCGGTACGGTCGCCTGATTGAATTTTTAAAGCTGTCCGATTTTGAACCTTTCACTCACTCCTCCGGTCTCTTTGCGTTTTTTGCACAGGTCGCTTTGCCGTCCGAGACTTGAAGCAAACGGTTGCAGTCGGAGTCATCAAGTCGGTGGAGAAGGAGAGACGACCCAAAGTGGCCAAATAAGTTGGCGCTTGCATTCTGATTTGTCGAAACATAAAGAGACTTTCGGTTGAGTTTGAAAATGCATTTGAGATCCTGTGTTGTTGCAGAATTTTTGGTTCAGCGTTTGGAAATAAATCCTGATTTATTGACCAAAAACATTGTGGTGGAAGTTGTTTAATTTGACATGTATTAGAGGCAATTTCCAATGTCAAGTGAGTTCAACACAATTTCTTTTCACTTTATAGGGATGACTTGAATGTAGGCCGGATTTGTACATGGTCCAAATTTTGTATATTTTGGGGAGCTGAGGGAAAAAAAACCTTGTCATTAAGTGCAGAAATTGAGTAAAGGTTGAGAGAGTACAGCACTTTAATTTTTTTTTTTTTGAGGCGGGGGGAGGGAGGTCCAGAACAACGGGACAAACTGCATGTGAGTGAGGAGCAGGCGACAACATCAAACTGTCGGCTTCTCATTTTCACAAGTGTGCCCAACAAAAAAAGCTCTTCGCTCATCTTTTCGCTTACGACACCGTCAACACAACTTGGGGGAAATGACTCAACACTTTATTGCTGACATTTTTTTTTTTTTTTGTCCGTTTCATTAAATACTGCTTAATAATACTAACAATGATAATAGTGGCTTGGGGGGTGCGTTCTCTCTCTCTAGTGGCTCTTGGAACGTTCCAGTCGTGCACGAGGCTGAGGGAGATCAAGTCAAGATGGGCTTGGAGATTCCAACACAGGCAGCGGCAGCAAGCGAAACTGCTGCCACACCAAAAAAAAAAAGCAAACGGGATGAATTTCACCTTACAACCAGAAGTGGAACTTCTCACTTTATAGCGTGGAATTCATCATCTTATATTGAGCACCGTGAGATTTGTCACATTCAAATGTGAAACATCTCACGTTGCAGCGCGTCGTTTTCAAAGGCTGAAATTGGATCACATCACGTGGTACTGAACTTTTCTGTTTTGATTTTGGTGGTGCGGCAGCAATACACGGTTCTGCTTGTCTACCGCGAAACAACACGCGTACACACAAAGCAAGCCGGGAGGGTCTACGTGGGGCGGCCGGTGGTCTTCCGCCGGCTACACAAATCGGGATCAAATGTGCCATAGCATGTTTGTACAGTAAAACATGTATGTACAGCAGACGCACGGATAGATCTATTTACAAAAATATATACACACAGCGTTTACAGAGAGATAAGTGCTGGAGGGAGCTGATTTATGATATTGGGCAGGGGGGGCGGGGGTCTTGAAGATAATACCGCAGGTGAGGGTAGGGTACGCACATTCTTTGTACAGCACGGACGAGGCTTTCCCGTCTTTTTGACTTTTGCTTGAGTGTGTTCTTGTGGTAGTGCAAAGGCTTGGCTTCATTGGGTGGCGCGGGTTTGCGGTCAGTCGCTGAGGATGTGCACAAAGGACATGGGGAAGACGCCCTTCCGCTCCGGCTCGCCCTCAATGTGACCGATCTGCAAGGACAAAATAGTCAAGTCAGCCGCTCGCCCGCTAACTTTTCAAAAGCCACCCGGCGGACAAGGGCCTTCGCACCCTAATCCCCAATCGGAAAACCCTGCAAGCTGAAACCCTAACCACGTCTTGAAATCCTACCTGACAGCCTTACTTGAGAGCATCTGAAGGCGCTAAGCCGCAGCGGCGCCACGCGAGATAAGGTCAACTCACCCACCACTCCTGGTCCTCCTCGCCCGTTACCACGATGACCTCGCCCTCTACGAAGGTCAGCTCGTCGTCGTTGTCGGCTTGGCAGTCGTAGATGGTCTTCACGCGCCGTGCCTTGCTCTTACCCTGAAACGCAAACACACACGCCACTTTGGAAAACGCTTGGCAGGGCCACGCGGCGTCATGGCGCACCTAAATAAAGTAGGTAGGAATCATTCGCAGCGGTTGACTTTTTTAATTTTGTTCCACATTGCCCAAAATGAATGAACAATGTTGTATTTTATTTTATTTAATAAAAAAATCTTTTGGAAATTCATCAAGTAGTATTTTGGGGGGAAAAATACCCTGATGTAAACAATGATGGATGAAGATTGTAACAAAAGTGAAGCACCGTCACAATGCACTGAATGTGTTATTGCAAAGTTTTCAAAGACCCATGTTGTGATTATGAAGCGTTGTGTGTAGGCAGTAGGGCGGCCCGGTGGCATTTTTGATCTGGAATTGCCAAAAGAAACTCAGAGCAAACCAGGTCGTCATGATAGTGTACGTGTATACCGCATTGATCTTCCTGGGGAGGGGCACGGGGGTCTCCGAGGTACTAGGCGGGGTCCCTTCGGCGTCATCGGCACCCGGCTGCTGCTGGGGCGGCGGCGGGGGCGGGGCCG